CCTGTTCAGTGCCACATTTACAAACCCAGTACTCCGGGTCTGCGGCGAGGGATACGAGACCATGTTTCAGAGAAGTTTTCAGTGATATCAGTTTTCCACCAGGTAACGCCTCGCATATTTCCACTGCCTCGCTGTAGGTTTTGGTAGCATGTATGATTTTATACTCGGTGCAAGTTCGTACTCTTTTATCGACTGCAAATAATGATATCTATTATTACCATAGCAACATATTGCATCAAATTTGAAGACAATCTTACGTAATAGGAACACTTCTAAGTGTGTTGATGTTGTTTGCATAACAATAATTCGCGGGAATGAGTTTAACTACGAGTAATTTGTTTTAGAGAGTAGAAAGTAATCTACTTCTCGTCCTACTCGTTAATAACACCGCCACGTGAATACATCAGAACTACCGTTCCGTGTGACCATGTATATAGCTTAATATATGTTACATCAGAGTGTGTGTTCCTCGGTGGTGAGTAAATGTCGAGCTCGAATCATCGACCGTCAAGTTGTTCCGAGTGTGAATTTTTGGTCGATTTCGCCAGATTGGATGCATTCGAACGGGATACATTTGTGCAATGCACAACAAATGGAATAGTAACAAGCAGGACGACTGATTATTAGTATAAGGGGAGACGCCACCCAATCGTCTCGTATTTTAATATAAATAAATAAATTACAGATGACCCTCCCCCTACCACGTGCGCCAGCTCACGATGAAAATTGAATCTACTTTCTTCTTTACAAGGAACAACAGAAACCAACCAACAAAAATTATTATACGTTATTATGTATGAATTAAATCTTTAAATACATCTTTCCCGTAAATCACAGTAACGTATTTATGTTGTTTGAATGTGACTTGGTGTATGTATTAAGACTACAAACAAGTTCGCAAATAAATGTGGGTTAACCTGATAATCAATTGATTCAACATATTACAGAAATTTAACACTATTGCCCTATATGGAATTATTCCCATGCATGCAATCTCTGTTCGCATCCACTAGTTAACGCACACATATACGCAGTATACTCATCATTGTACATGTAGTACCAGTATTCAAAATAATGACGTGCTTGTACTTACCACTTCGTCTGTATATCGTATCACGCAGTCCTTTATCCTAAGTTGAAAGCAAAATGTGGTTATTTCGTGTTGCGTCAATATTATTCCCTAACTCCCGTACTAGGTAACTTACAATTTAATACTTTATAAGCATGCGATGAAAAACAAAGATACATTTGTTCAAAAACTACTCATAACACATCAACTTTTGAATTCTGCGTATTCGTAGGTTTATTTCATACATGTTAACCGTTGAACACTCTTATATAAAACTGTCAAAGCAATCAAACGCCGGAAATGATACAATTAGAAACATAGACACATTTTAATTTGGTAATTAGTATGACTCAGATAATTACCGTCACACCATTTTCTTTCGCAATAGTCTTCACAACAACCAAAGCCAATATAAGACATATGTAGTATTTTGCCATATTTGGAGACATCTACGATGTAAATAAAAAAAAATACGGCGAGCTTGTAAGAGTCACACATGAATTTGAGTACTGGGAGCGTAACGTTTATCTCTTCGGCGCTGAAATCTCTTTATGAATACTTAATAATAGCAAGCCCTATATAACGAGTCAATCAAGAAAAGCTATAAATCATTCAAGTTATTAAACTTGATACGTGGGTTGATCAAACGTTAGTGATTACTAAAACCGGTCTCACTGGTAAACTGGGTGTTAGACTAAAA